TGCGCTCGTCCGGGCTGCGGGGGCCCCGCGGCGGCGCCGGCCTCGCGGCCCTGCGGGGGAACCGGGCGGACGGCTGGGGTCGGAGTGCTGCGGAAAATGGGGTTTCCCAGTTGTCATGTGGCATCTGAGCAGGAAGCCAGGATGGCGCTCGGCCAGGGTGAACCTGTGTGGCCATGCAAAGGTGCTAAGCGCACAGCAGCACCTTGAAATTCTGCATTAAAAACACCCTTGTTGGCACTGGGAAATACAGGCTGTGGTAGCCTTTGCCTCTTGGTTACTCCCAGTGCTCCCATTAGATCTCCCCACTGTCCTATTTTTCACTTGGCTTCGCTATTGGCAATGATGCACCCGTTCATTTCTCCCCATAGGGCTTATCCTTGTTTTTAAGCTGCTCTGCTTAGCCAAGTTATGGTAGCCCCATGTCAGCATTGATGTTGTCCTTTGCCAGTGGTGAAGTGTGTCCAAAGTTGGACTCTTCCAAGCAGGGACATTTGTAACAGTTTGCCACAGCTCAGGCCTTGCTGCCCTGTTCCAGAAGGTTTCGTTGCTCTCCTCATGCAGCTTTATTCATGTTGCCGTAACTAGGTTTTCTGCTTTGTTCTCACAAACCTTTGATCATCCGAGTCCCTCAAAAAATCTTAACAGCGAGACGGCTAAGTCGTGTCTCACTGTCCTCACAGAGACCCAGTTTCCCATTTTAAAAAAAAGGGAGAGGTTTGCTGACAATCTGCTCTTTATCTTGGAATACAAGCACGTGGTGGGGCCTTGCGTTCGAAGAGCAGCGTGGCTGGGTTTGCACATCTCCTGTGACAGACTCGCAAATCAGCATTTATTGATGGTTAACCCTTTGATCGTGTGATTATAGTATTGCCTTTTGATGCATGTGTAACTTTATAACCTTGGAAGGCAGTTAAGAGAGAATTGCTTATATGGAGAAAAAAACCAGATTAATAGAGCAGTTCCTTCAAAAGCTGCTATTTTCCCCCCAGTTTCTGCTGCAGTAAAACCCAGTGCAGGCCCAGGGAATGAAGAACAACTTGTAAGTCCGGTTCATACAGTAAGCTTTCCTTGAGGACTGTGTGTGCATGAGGGAGTGTGAAAGGGACATTATCTAAACCATCAGTAACCATCTCAGGGAAGGAATCGCTGCCATTTAATGACAAGTGGGTTGTGAACTGGGAGGAGGTGTGCTGGTGGCCACAGCTGCTGCTGGGCTATGGGTCACTTAGATACTTGACTTAGAAATCAGCTTCTTCATTAGTGTTGTTTTCTCATTAATTTTCTTTTGACCTGTCACTGGACATACTTGAAGATGAACTGGGTGCATTTATTTAGTTGGAATAAATGAAACAAACCGTAGAACTTTAACAAAACATTTAACAAGAGAAGTAATTTTGTGGCTAGTTAACAAAAGCCCATTCTCTAAGTAGATTTTTCTGATGGAAAGGGGTTTTTAAGGGGGATGCATATTCCTCATGAAGGAATCCAGAATGAAAATGCACAAAATCATATAGCAAAAACCTGCACAGTGATTAGCTTATCTTTTTCTTTTAGGAAGACCCTTTGATACAGTCACCAAACTACCGTGTCGTTAGTCCGTGTCTGTGGATGAACAGGAAGTGAAGCAGCCCTACAGAGCGACATCAGTTACCTTTTAATGAACACCAAAAACAGGTTAAACAACCTTATTAATGGTCGGGTCGTAATTTGTCAAGTCATTGCTCTTCTAATGTCAGTTTATTGTGAATCTGACCTGTGCTGACAGATTGACTGGCTGAGGATTGACTGTGAAAGCACCGTAGCTGGGGGGGTTATGCATTTTTTACGTGCAGGAATGGGAATTGGGCAATTAGCAGTAACTACACAATATAATACACAGGGTTAGCTGTGTGCATATCAGGCAGATGTGTGCCCAGCATGTTACGATGTGATGCAGTGGGCAGGAAGCCTTCCCCTTGTGATTTCCTCGCCCGGCTGGAACGCTAGATTCCCACATTTTGCAGGAAACGCTGGAACTGCAGAGCACGCCGCTGAGCTTGGAGGCGATCAAAAGGCTCCGGAGCTTTGCGGCGAGCAGCAGCCGGGGCTTCGCCGGCGCGCGCCAATGGCAGAGCGGATTTCAGGGAACGCTGTGCAGGCGGCCTATGGAGCCGAAGGGCTGGACCAGCGGCGCTCCGAATTCCCGCAGCAAATGGCATTTTGCTGCAAAAGGAGCCAATCAAGCACTGCACCGTGCAGCCAATGCGCGCCGGCCTCTCATGCAGCCGCTGGCAGGGGGTC